AACGAACGGCCGTAAATATACTTGCGGGGCATGGCACTTCCACCGATTCTGTCTACTACGAAGGAACAATAATACTCAGCACCAGCAAACGGGCCATCAGACCAATAAATGGAGGCATCACGGTAACTTACGATCAATCAAAGGAAACATCAGACCCCGCAACAGGTCTGCCAAACCCGGAGGTAAGTCATTGAGTCTGATCGCACATTCAACTACTCTTAGACAATATATCCGTCTTTCTATGAATAGATACCCGGCACGGCTACAGTTCGATACAGCTTCAGACATTACTATTATTTCGAGACAACTGTGGTCCTCCATCAACCGTCCTACACTGAGACGAAACACAGGCATAGCCACCAGTGCCTGTGGTGGCTCCGCCCAGGCCGAGTTTATCTTGGGACGAATGGCATTGATCTTCGTCTCAACAGTGTACAAATCTTGCGTACGCTGCCCGAGCCTTGGAAATGCGGGCGGTTATCTCCTTTGATGCGCAACCGTCATTGGTCAGACAGCTACCTAAGTACGAGAAGCAGTCAACTTCAGCTAATCCCCGACCGTTCAGTTTCAAAACGGAAATAGGCGACACCCAGTCATGCACCATCACTTTGCTGCGGCCTGTTCGAAATTCTGCTTGTTGTTAGCGGATATTTGTCTCCCTAAACGGTGTCAGAAGTCGAAGTATGAGGGAGGCTAGTAACTTGGTACCCATTGGAATCAAACTTATTCCACGGTGGTTTGTGCAGTCGTTGCGAGATTCTCTCTTAAAAATTGGACCAATCAGTGATTCACTCCAGGACGATGGAATGCGCTCGTGTAACCAGATGTTACGCGTTAGATCAGTAGTGGCGTTTAGGAGGTCATCGACCCCCCCATCCCCCCATCCTGCTGCTTCTTCTCTCATCAGGGCTTGGATGCAAGACCGAACTTCTGCTGCAGTAGGAGGTTTATGTGACACTTCCCATGGAGCCTCAACCACAACAGATGACATGGTCTGGTTAGTACCTGGCCAGATGAACTGTTCGTTGAAGTACTTCGCCCATTAAACAAGCCGTTGTTCCCTATTGTGAATAGCTTGCCCACTTTTATCGCAGATTATTTCACTAACTGTGGTTCGCCGACCTCCCGTATCGCGTATCAGTTGGAACAGTTGTGACTATTCCCTGATGCAGCTGCTGCTTCTATTTCACTAGCTACCGTTGCCCACCAGTTCTCGCGGCCTTTCTTGATGCTCTTCTTGAGTTGACGTTGCAGACGCCAACTAACCCTGCCTTGATCCCGGGTGGTTAGGATTTGCCGCTTTTTCTCCATCGGTGCGACTGACTCATCAGATATCCAATGCCTCGGGCGGGCTACAGCTTCAGATCCATTCGCTGCGGTGTGCATTGCTCGGTGAATCTGATCCCATTGTTCATCAACACTATCACCCCGCAGTGCGTTTAGCTCTTGTCCTAGTTCTGATTCAAAACGGGCACAAACGACTGGGTCAGATAAACGATGATCTGCTAATTGAGTTTGGTGGGATTTTCTGCAACCAGTGAGCTGGAGAGTAAACTGCATCAAAACTAACGCATGATCAGATTCAACGCAGGTGGTTCAATAGGACCTGCAATTTTGTATTGAGCCACGCCAATCATAGCTTACTGCTATGTGATCGATCTGAGTTAGCGTGCCAGTTGAATTTGAGCGCCATGTTGCTGTCCGTTGAGAGCTGAGACGGAAGTTGGTGTTGGTTGTCCTGTACAACATGCAAAAGAAATCTGGCGTTCGTAGTAATCCCTTGGTGGATAACTGCTAACAGGATCTCAAGCCGCCTGGATAGAGAATGATTGGACACAGGGCTAAAATAATTAAATCTGCTAAGAACCCTGGTACAAGTCATCAGTGGACACTGGAAGCCCATTAAGATAGATCAATTATACCTAAATCAAGCTGCCGATTAGAATGCCAACTTACTCTAAACTTCCAAACATAACCGGGAGATTGAAATTGAGATGACCTCCGAATTGAGGAAAGTCATTTAATGCATGCTACATTTGGCCGGAGAGTAACATACGTCGTACCACCTAGTTAAAACACTACATTTTGTTATAGATGGAAGATAAAAAATGTCTAAATGACGAAAGCAACGGAAAACAATGTGAAGTTATCCTGTCAATCGAATGCGACAAATAACAGCAAGCTTGTGTGTGGAAGTAATGCGTTGTTGATGTTTTCTCCTTGCACGGACAGTATATTAATCACCTCTTATCTCAGAGTTGTGCAACTATCAACCAGAATAAGAAAACCTGATTCTGTGCCCATGGAAATCGGTTGTTGGTGCAAAAATCAGTATGAAGCTGCGGAAGCGAAGAAAAGGAATTTAGAGGAAAGTATAGCAGCTTACTCTATAGACGTGACAATGAACAGGTGCATAAGAAAAAACAATTACTTACGGTGACAAAGCGATGGCTTTCACGGTTTGGACTCCAGGAGGTAAGGTAAAAGGCTGCTGGAATTTGTAGGTTCCAGTATTTGATAACTCTTTCCCATGCTTGGCCACAGTCGGGCGGTTCCCATTGATTGTAAAATAAATATTCACATTCGGTGTCTCCGATAAAATTTCTAATGGCGTATTTGAGTCAATGTGAGACTTGGGGACACCTTCCGCAGGTGCGCGTAATGGAATGATAAGAGGTGCACGAATAGCCCCGGCGGACATGTTTGCCCCGTGTGCATCAAGTCCTAAATATGAATAATTGTTCGATAATTAGACAGAATGAAATGAGAGTGAAAAGCAGAAGTAAACACTATTAAAAAAACAGTTTATTGCACTATTGATAATATCTAGAAAAAGAAAAAAGTAGACGCTAGCAAGGTAACAAGAAAAAACAAGAAAATGTCCGAGTACGTAATCAGAGCCAATGGAGAGATTGGCATTCCCCGGTCCAATCATCACAACAAATCCAGCACCAATCAAATCCACAACGGGAACAATGCATATGATTACAACCACCGGCCTTTTCGGTGGCCGTTTTGCACCGGGGGCATGGACGACATATTCGTGCAATGGTTTCGCGATTCTCTCGCTCAAAGGCACTCATTTTGAGAGAAGCCCAAATGGGATAAAACCCAAAGGAAGGCTGATTGCGAACAGATACGTTCTCTTGCGCTCCACAATAGCATTGAACTGGATTTGTTGCATTGTCAGAATACTGCCAATTACAGACGGGGCAAAAGAGTTTACCACAGCCAACGGGAATTGCACAGGTTACCCACGCAGAACGCCTTGGATGAATGTTTCGTGGATGGTTTGACGTAGTGGGATTCTCATTGACATTACTGGAGATATCCCAATACTGACCACAAGCCGGACATATAGCAGAGTCTTTTGTAAGCATGAAGCGGTTGACAGAGAATTCTTTGTAACGGGAGTAAAAATCCTTTCCAATCAGACGAAAGTGATGGGGGTCAGAAACGTAAGCATTGGGGCATCCGGCTGGACAACCTAAAGTGTATCCCAATTCATCCACCAATGTGAACAGACCTTCTTCTAAATATTCGGTGGCATACGTCTTGAAACAAGGCAAGCACAAAGCATGTGTTTTGTGGTCGCATATGGTAACAATTAGTTCGCAATCTTCCGATAAACAGGCGATGCACGGTATACAGTCCAGATTACGATTGACATGTTGTAGGTACACAACCGGACAGTGTTCCAGGGACTTAATACAATGAAAATTTAGCGTTCCAGAAGTGGATTCACATCGGTTAGAAGAACAAGTTCCGGAAACTTTGTGTTCCGGTTGGGACGCATCCGATGGTACAAAGCCATTCTTATTGCAAATATTACATTTCCACTCAAGTGAGGCGCAGGATACCTCACTACATTCGTAACAATAAACGAAAAACCGATTTTTCTTTCCCCGGAGAACAACCTGAACAACAGAGTTATCACTTATTTCTGTGTTTAAGATCTTCGAGTATTCATCCAACCGAGAAGACTTGATGTAGAGATCGCATTCTTCGGCATTCAAAGAAAATAGTTGACAGACTCGTTGCTTGAGAAATAAGATATTCCATTGGGTATCGATCTCAAATTGATGTTCTGAGTCCCCGAATTTCACTGTGATCGTTATTGACGGCATCGGATATGCATTTTACAAAGGTAAGACGAGTCTATAAAAGAATGGAAGCAAAACTGATATGAAGACATCCGCATGAAACATGCGAGGTACCGAGAATATGCCAATCGAAAATAAAGGGGAAGTTGTCCATTTCACGCCCCATACCTAGCTCGGGCGAGCCAAAAAAACAGTAGCCCACAACTCTTGTGTGATCGTAAAAATAAACAAGAACTTTATACAACCAGCCTCTTCCAGCCACTGCACTTTTCACTACTTACAGTGTAGGCACGATTCGCTTCAGGTCTGTGATCAAATACAATACAGAAAGGAACAATGAAAAAAGTGGCGGACGCAAGGAGATACAATAAGCTGTTCTAGCACGTTTTTATTTTTCATGAAGTTTCTATTTAAAACTAGATAAGTAGTAATACAACCTCATCAATGAACACAACTGGTATGCAAAACAAACGTTTTGACTAAAGGGGAGATTGTGACAGCCTTTGCAACGAAGCTCATTGTGACGATTCAGAAATTTTTCCTATCCATTCGGTCATCGTACAACTGGCATAACGGTTTTGATGGACAGAGTATTGCTGCAAAATTTTTAAATTAGTATTGTCGCCTATTACTTAAAGATGCTCACGTTGTTAGGCCGGTTTGTAAGTGTTCATATAGATCACTTTCGATTGAAGTCCCTGGCTAATTGCAAAAGTCGTTTATTTATGCGACCCTCAGGATATGCTTTTCATTTAAAGTCGACGGTGGCTCATTGGAAGTAACACAGAAATGTGCGCTGGGGCTGCTTTTAGAGGTCAGTTGGCAAAACAAAAAGTTCGATAAGAGAAACCAGTATAGCACGATTTATATTCTAGACGATTTCGCTGCATCTCCATTGTGTCTACTGCAGACAAATACAATGTTTACATAGGGTTTGGGAATGGATTACCAGATGTAAAAAACATGGGGGTAGGATCACCAAAGCGAATCCACGGTGATGAACAAGTCCTTCTTTTGACACAAAATTGGTTTCCATCGTTTGATTGCAATCGTTCCAGTGATCTTGAGCGTTCTGGCGTTAACGTTAGTATAAAACAGTCGAAATGCTTTCTCTCGATCTAAGAGATGGTGCGTCATGGGCAAATCTATCATCAGCCCATTAAAATCGAGTTTAAATGGAAGCACTCTCCTTTGGTCTTCGATTCTGCATATCACCAAGAAAGATCAACCGTTCAGAAACGCAATCGCAGTTTCAATCCTTTTACAAACAATTGAAACTGTTGGCTTTGCCAATAAAAGAAGCAGAACGCTGGATAAAGCTAAGCTATTGGATATAGAATAAAAATGTAGAACGAATTAAATTACTCAAAAAAAACAAGACAAAACATTCGGTCGTACTGAAGGAACTTTAACCTAGGAAGGATCTTATTATCCTATACAGTGATACAGGATCTGGTGCAGTATTATTCGCGCAAAATGGAACCCATTCTGAGTGATTCCATGACGCTTCTGCGCGACCATCGAGTGATGATCCAAAAGAATCGTAGCGGAAAACTGCTGCCGAAGTTTGGCTCCTTCTCGAATGACAATTCACTGACGATACTACAGCCCGAAAACTCAAGACATGAAAAAGCCTTTCTCCCCAACTGCCTAGACTGTCAAAATTAGACGAACCGGGTTTGCTACTGAGACCTATTCTGTCCATGAGGGACTCAACAAAACACCAATTGGCAAAGTGGTCTGTCGACGTATTATAGCCTGATTTAGTACATTAAGTACACTAAGAGGTACCTCTGATATGGCAAAACAATTACACCAACTAAATATTGATAATAAACTCATGGCTTCGCCGGAGGTGGAATCAATATTTACCAATATTCGTGAAGTTACTCGAATAATTTTGATGACACTGTAACAGTTCAGTTCAGTAAAGCTTTTACAACCATTAAACATGCATTTTTGTGAGCAGGTTTTGGCTGTTGCCTTTGGGCCGCCCATTTACATAAAGGAATAGAGTGAAGACTAGAAGTTGACAGCAAATTCAAGCGGAAGATAGAGAATTCACGTAGAATGCTGTTCCACGAGTATTGAGTAGATGCACGAGCGCCACAGTTTGTGACACTCAGCCATATCACTCAGTGTCTCTAACCACCGGTTACGACGATCTCGGGGTCTTCATCTAGTAACCCTAACAAGACCCATGTGACCCAGTGTTCTGGTGAGGGTTTTCATATCCTTACTACAGCTCTTGGTTTGATGCCCATGACCATTTTTCAACCGCTTTCTCCCTCGGCAAAAATCGCTCGCCATATTTGGGAATGCATCGAACAAGAACTCGCTATCGCATCGAATCCAGCTCATTAGGCTCCGTTGGTGTGGACACGTACATCCGACGGTCCCTCACCACAGCGCGCCTTATTCGCAGTGGCTGTTGCAGGCTAGAAAAAGCCACATAGAGGCCAGCAGATTATATGGAGATGAGGTATGAAGAAATGCACGGGGCGGTTAGGTAGAGTAGGTATCTCTCGTCTTCCTGGTTGGGGTCCAAAATACTCCGTAACCGCATGGTTGGAGACACATGGCTGCAAACCGATAGCAATGGCGATCATGCTCTCACTTCTTATCAGACCAGAATGCTTGAAATAGTATGTAGTGTGATTTGATTGGACGTTTTACTATGTGTATGACCATAGAGGTTCGCTTTCTTTTCCCGTTCCTAAAAGTGAGTCCAATCCCTATCGTCCTCACATATTCGCATTTACCTTGTATGCAATATGAGTTTTGCAGCGATCAGTGAAGTTCGCCTCACTGTATTACGTTGTACAATAATGACGATGATGCTCGCCGTGCAACCTAGTTAGTGACATGCTTAACACACGTCCCAACCAACGCAATTTATAAAGGTCAATCACTTGAGCCAGAGAATAACCGCGATTACCTAAAACTCTACGCCCAACCTCGGCGTTGCTTGTTCGGTTTCCTCACCAGACTCGTGTAATCCGACGTAGACAGCGGTGGTCAAACACCGATAGTCTATCTTTGTCCTGTTTTCTGAATGAACAAGTTACCGCAGAACTGGCCCAAACGCCATAGCATACATTCGACCCTTCACAGAAAGCCGGATGTTGCGACAGCGCCCCAATTTTATCAAGTTGACAAATGCCAATCAAGCCTTCTGTATGTGAGCACACACACACACTTCATCCGTAATGTGTCCACCGGGTGAGATGTAGGTGCCCAAATAACAAAACTTATCCACTTGCTCTATTACTTCCCCAGTTAGAGTGAGGCTGGGGGCTGGACAACCCAATCTTGTTGTAACATTTTACACTTTGAAGGTGTAAAACGCATACCAAACATACATACACTAGCACTCAAACTATCCGGAAAATCTTGCAATTTAGCTAGATCTTCACTTAGCAGCATAGTGCTGTCTGCATACTCCAGATCAGAAAGTCTATCACTTGGGAGCAAATCGACGCCACTATCCTCGCACGAGGATAGAGCTGCTTTCAGAATCATATATCTATAACAAAGTTAAACAGAAACGGAGAGAGAAGGAACCCCTGATGGACGAAATTTCCTGTAATGAACTCTGGGGACAAAGTGTCTTAAGCTCGCATTCGGCTTTGGCTATTAGTATGAAGAAATCGCAAAATGGAAATTAACTTCTAGGGCACGCCCTTCAGAGAGAAGCAGCACCAGAGTTTAGGGCGGTCGACTGAGTCGACGGCTGCTTTCAGGTCGAGGATGATAGGAATGATGACGAAGAGTGAAGATGTGGTCTATACAACCTCGACCAAGTCTAAAACTAAACTGGTTCTAACGCGCACACCGTTCACATGCGGTAGACGATCGACAGAATACAATATCAACGAGAAGTTTAGAGACGACGTTGGCTAAACTAATTCCTTTATGGTTTTCACAAGAGAACCTATCACCTTTCTTGTAATTCGGTATGAGCACCGACTTACACCATTCAGTTGAAACCTGTTCCCTTTCCCATACTGAGCCCATGAGTTTCGTTTACTACAAAACCAAGGATCAACCGATGTGGACAGCCCGTTCGGGTCGGAAGCTTTAAACCTTGAGATGATTTACTTCCCCGATAACCTCCATTTTATATCGAGGACTGATGTCAACCGGCAGTATTTGCACAGTTGCATCTTGTGTCGACCGGGCCAGTTGAAATGTTCTTCCTAAATTTAAAGACGGTGCTGCTGAATATGAATGTGCCTTCGGACTCCTTAATCACCTCACTTACGTCTACTTTCCTTGGTACCGTACTTCTAATTAGACCAGAAAGATTGAGACTGTTACCGAGAACCGCGGCCTTCTCCATCTATCTACACGTTCCTATCCACAACTTCTCGTGGACATTCCTCAGAATCTGTGTAGCTCGTTGGGTCAGAGAGGTGAGCAAGCCATCACACTACATCAAGGTGCAGTCTCGTCGTGACCGAGCACTTTCGAGCAGTTGAGAGAGGGTTTTGTAGAAGTCAGTCTTCAACTCCGGCGAACGGCAATCAGTCGTGCAAACGCGCTCCTATTCTATTGCTTCCGTCTTAGACAATGACGCTGGTACCACTCGTTTAACTTTTCTTGACTATACAAACGCTTTTGGTTCTCTCGACCAAAGTGTGCTTATTGAGTCTTTCTGAGTGTGGTCTAACTCCTGAAGTCTTGAATATACTAATCAACTACTTCTCCCGTAGGACGCAGTTTACTTCACTCAATGGTGTACAATCATCTTCTATTAACATTGAGGCCGGTGTTTTTCAGGGTGCCATTTTGTCCCCTTTCTTGTTTCCCATGTATATACAAAATTTGCCCATCCCCACCAACTTTATTGCTTGTAAGTATGCTGATGGTATTGTGATTGGTTGTCCAGCCCCTATTTCAGACAGTTTTCGACCTCTTTAGTCTGTGACCCGATCTCTTAAACTTAACGTCAGTAAGTGCATCGAAGTTCCGCTTAGTCTTAAAACCGGTCCCCGTTATTTTTCATTAGTTGATAATCTCCC